TTAAAAATCTTATCGCTCATGCGAGGAGTTTTTTCACTTGCATGGTGGCAGTTCGCGGGATATGGACTAGTGCCACTCCTCCTCTTGGAGTCTCTCACATACTTCTTGCAGGACATCTCATCATCGAACTGCACCGTCCCGTGCGCCGAGTAAGTTCAGGTCGTCAATTCGGCTAGTGGCTTTGAAAGGTGGGTGATGGAACTGTTTTTTAGAGAGCACAGCATTTAGTAAGCATGAGAAATTGGAAGATATCCAATATCAAAAGACGCGTTGTACATGGTTAGACAATCCAATGAACGATGAGTGTAATTTGAGTGCAAAGGATAGAATGGGGAAGCAAGAGCATAAAGGGAGGAGGAAGGAAGGATGTACCTTGCCTTTAACCTAAAAAGGTCTAATCCGGAAAGAGCCGCGATCATATTTCGCGATTGTGATAAGTAACAAACTTAAATATCAAACACAACATCAACTATTTTTTTGCTCTTATCACGACACATAACCGGTATTCGTCAATCAAACTTCCAATTAATAAACACTCTATGGACGTTGAACGCTCTTCTTCCATTCTTCCATTTCATCCGAATTAATCAATAAAACCCGACATAGGTTTTCGTCTGATCCACTTCATAGCTTAAAATCTACTCTGTGTTGATTTTCAGGTGATTCTTGTATAACATGCACCCTCCCGAATTATGTCGTCTTTTATCTGTTTACCCCCCTGCTGTGTCCGCCGCTTTCTGCAAATCTCATGCAGCTACGGTCGGGACCAGGCCCAAAAGCTGTGTCCTGCAAGCCATACAGAGGTATCACAGGATGATCATTGGGGATGGCGTTTCACAACCGAAGCCACAGGCTCACGAGAGCTGTTGATTAGATATCAAGAAGTGGTGGTACCTGCATTCATTATTTCAATATTTCTCATGGGAATATCCAATGCTTATGAACCTCATCGAGCTGCTGAGATTTATGCCAAGAGAATTAACCGGAAAGAATAACATGATACCCCGAAACGTTGATTCACAAGGTATTCCGATCTATCACAAAGAGGCGTTCCCCAACCATTATTACTCAAATGCCATTATCCGTTGATTAGTTTGCGAACCAGACTCAGCCTATCGTTGTGTTCCCATTATATCCCTTGCCGAATTATGCAGTCCTACACGGTAGTCTACAGTGATACCCCTCTTGATCCCCAGTTTCAAAGGGTCAAGGACTACTTTAAACAAGGAAGATTGAACTTACAAAGTTGTTATTGTTTTGATCATGGGGGGCTGGAAAAATTAATTGAATTGCAAATTGAAATTCACATTCCGATCCATTATCTTTGACTGTCAAAAAGTTCCTTCTTCTGTCCAGATGCTTCCGCTGTCATATCAAAAGTTTGTTCCGAAAAATACTCAAGCTTTTTACCGTTACTGTATAACTTCTAGGACTTTCCCACGTTCTAATCGTGTGCTTCAAACTTGGCAAAGAACAGCATCGTTGTCTACGAATCATGCTATCTATCAAAGAGTATATCAATAATCTCAATACGAGAGCTTCAAAGTCAACATTTGGCAGAGTTTTTCGTCTTGATGGATGTGGCCATGTAAGTCTTCAAGTATTAAATCTGAAATTTGTTTAATACTAAGCTCTATCAGGAACAACAAAAGAAAAATGCCAAATTTATCACGGAAGTCAGAGCGGGGGTAACGACCTTTTTTACAATGGCATATATCATTGCTGTCAATGTATGCTTATGGAGACATTTCAGAATAGGCTATAGCTAACATTGCTTTGAAGTCGACAGTATTATCACAAAGTGGTGGTACTTGTGTCTGTCATGATACTGAAGATCCGTCATGCGCAACAGATTCTACCTACGCCGCTTGCGTTCTTGGTCAGTGGATATATCGATTCGAAAATTCTGTTATTTATGCTAATAATGTCTAGATATCAATCGAGATTTGATTACAGCCACTGCTGCAGTGGCAGGAATAGGGTCTCTGGCATTTGGCTTTTTCACCAATCTACCTGTCGCCTTGGCGTGAGTTCCTCTGCAGAATTTTCCCACAACTGAACACTAATATTTCTAGCCCCGGTATGGGTCTCAACGCATACTTTACCTATCAAGTTGTTGGTTTTCATGGAACTGGTACTGTTCCCTATCGTTTGGCTCTCACAGCCGTGTTTGTGGAAGGGTTTATTTTCGTTTTCTTATCCCTGATTGGCATGCGGCAATGGCTTGTCAAGGTAATACCTGCTTCGATAAAGGTCGCAAGTGGTGTCGGAATTGGTCTGTTTTTGACTGAGACGGGAATGTCATACTCCGCAGGAATCGGTGCCATGACTGGCTCTGCGGTAACTCCAACCGCTTTGGGAGGGTGTCCTCCTCAATACCTCGACGTTACAGGAGCCTGCACTAGTCATCAGATGACAAACCCTACAGTGAGATTTCTATTTAGATTTATTCTCACTGCAAACAATTTACTGATTTTCCATTGTAGATGTGGATCGGAATTATCTTTGGAGGATTTTTAACTTCGTACCTAATGGCATTCAGATTTAAATCTGCGATAATAATTGGTATTGCGATTGTGTCTATCTTTTCATGGCCGTAAGTGTTACCCACAAGATTATTTTTCGCCAAGCTTACTTGTGTATTAGGCGCGGAACAACCTTCACATATTTTCCTTATACGCCTGATGGCGAATCACGTTTTCAATTCTTTAAACAAGTTGTCGCATTTCACCCAATTCGCAATACCCTTGCTGCACAAGATTGGGATATCACAGCTGCAGGCTCTCACTTTGCCTTGGCGCTTTTTACGTTCCTGTATGTTGACATTATCGATTGTACAGCTACATTGTATTCAATGGCACGCTTTTCAGGAGCAGTTGATCCAAAAACCGGAGATTTCCCTCGATCTACGATAGCATATTGTACCGACGCAATGACGATCTCCATCGGTTCCTTGTTCGGATGTTCACCTGTAACTGCATTCATTGAGTCTGGCGCTGGTATAACCGAGGGTGGCCGAACCGGCTTAACAGCCATCACAACCGGTATCTGCTTCTTGATATCAATCTTTTTTGCCCCCATATTCGCATCAATACCTCCGTGGGCCACTGGTTGTACTCTTATCTTGGTGGGATGCATGATGATGCGTCAGGTAGTTTCAATCAATTGGTCTTATATTGGCGATGCCCTTCCGGCTTTCGTCACTATCGTTTCGATTCCTTACACCTATTCCGTCGCATATGGACTCATTGCTGGTCTGATGACTTATACTGCTCTCAATGGATCCGTTTACCTGACGCAAAAGATTTCCATGGGTAGATTGGCTCCACCCGATGCTGACAATGCGGAGTACTGGACATACAAACCTAGTGGTGGTACTGCGCCATGGTTTATCAGAGTAGCTCATCGAAAGTTCTGGCATCGAGGAGATATGGAAAGTATTGATGGGAATTCAGCTACAATGGAGCATGAGTTGGCTGAGAAGAGACACTCTGAGGTTAGATCGTCGGACCTTTGATCTTTTTGATACTTGTACTCCATGCTTCGCACTCATGGTGAATTCTTGGTAAACTCCATACATCAAATGCTGCTTAGAGAGTGGCAGCCAAATCTAATATTACAGCATTTCACTGGATTGTCTTTTTGCTGGTTGTGATAGATGCATGATTGATGAGCATTTGTTGGCTGTTCTATCAGTATTAGCCTCTATAGATATAGATGAGATGGATGGACGAAAGAAAGAAGAAATTTAATGACATTATTTAGACGAAAGATAGGATATGAATCAAAAGTCTTTTTTCGGGAAGTTTTGCTACTACAAGAACAATTTCGAAGTAACATGAGACTTCGATACTGCTTTCCGATCCATGTTATAAGATGGCCGATAGCTTTTCCTAGACATGATTGCCCGTTTAAGGCTTAAATCCAAGTACGGAAAATCGAATTTGTATTACAGGAGAAATTATTCACAGTACACTGAAAGCATTTTGGAACTCCCCTATTATCGACACTTCAGCCACGGAATGGCACGAAGGTTATTAAAACCGGTAGAAAAATCAAGGTTTTTGTTTCTTGGGGTCAGTAGCATATAAATTATCTAGTTGAAGCGGTTAGTCATAGACTGTAAAATTACGTATTATTTATCTAATGGAGTTCAAATAAGAATATATGTGACTTTCAAGAAGAACATGACTGGGAAAGAGAATCACGTGCTGTTAATTGGTGAGAGACAGGACAGGGTCTTTTGACTAGGAGAGGAACGGGGATGATGAGAAGGAAAGATTTTAAATGCTGTGAGATTTTAGATTCTGGGACTAAGTGTCATATCGTGGATGAACATTAAATATGTTTTGGTTATTTGAAATCACCAGGGACATTAACGTGATTCCTACCTCCATTAGTCCAATACCCAGTAGACCTCGAGTCCTTTCGAAATGCGAAAAATCAAATACAATTCCAATGCCATTTGATTTTATAAGAAGCTATAGGCTGACATGAGTTAAATATCTAAAGAAAGTCTCATAGTTTTCGAGACAATGGTTCAAGAGCTACCCTCAAATTGAAGTTTCTCAACATCTCAACGATTTCGTGTATCCACATGTCACAAGTCACAGCCTATCCATCATCAAATTGCTCACTGATGTCATTTCCAATGATAATGCAAAGTCAAAACCATTCAATTGAGTTGTATTACCGAAATGATATACATCAATTGATGAGAAATCCTAACCTGACAGTGTATTCCAGTCAGAAATACAATCCAACAATAAAAAGGTTTGAATATCTAAAAGCAATTAGAAATTTGAAACGAGTTCAATGTCCTTATCAAATTCAACGTCTCAAATGGTATAAATATTCTAATTGATTTGAAAATTTGTAAGTCTTTATTATTGGACTATAGTCCGGACTATTGGACACCCGGCTAGGTTGGGACTAACCATCCCGTTTGCTATCTCTGAAGTCCTTGAAACCCGCAAAAGCGCAAAAAATTCAAAAAAGACCAGCTCGATCGCATACTCAAACCCAGACCCAGAAAGATTGGCATACCTGCCACAACACCCTTTCATCGATGTGTAAAAGACCGTAGAAGATTTAAAAACAGTCAAGGATCCCGAGGTAATCTAATCTGTTGTGAAATCAGAGATAAAACATCAGATCGTTAAGATCAGGATGCCAGGGATTGGTTCTATTCTGTTGAGGATCAATCCAAATTCCTGTGTTGTTTCGATAGAAAGTCAAGTCATTTGGAGAAGTAGCAGCGAAGTCATTGTCCAGAGCCGGCTTCATATAGCAACGCATGCGATCACATAGAATATCCGCGTATTTGGCCGGCGTACAAACAGACAAAGCTTTAAATGCCCTAGAGCCCGTGAAACAGATAGTGTTCGTCTGAAGACTTTGTCAATAAGGCCCTAATAAAGCGAGATAATGAGTCACTTACCGTCTCTTGAATCTGCTCCGGTGTGTAATCACTCTCATTTATGATGACAATGTAATGTGCGCTTCTTGCTGTCCCAAGTGCGCTATCATGACTCTGAAGATAGAAACTGAAATGATTAGGTGTAACTACCCCGGAATCAATCACCAAGCCGGATGAAAGGTTGTTGTTGTATTGGTCGTTTTTCGCTAATTTGGGAAAGAAGCGGGTGTGATGACGCTTTCCGACTACTAGCAGAGTAATTTTTGGGCACCAATTACCGCCTCTTCCGCCTCTTCCACCTGCCGCCTTGCATCCAGCTTTGATGAGAGGAATTTCATCGTTCACAACCATTCCATATTGGCTTTCGCTCACACCATCGCGATAGAAGAGTATATGTTCTGGTAGAGAATTATTATTCGCAGTCCTGTACTTGTCAAGGCGTTCTCCAATCATGTCGGCTAGGTCTGCGATCGACTATAACTTCTAAGTTAGGACTCACGAGCAAAAGTGTACATGGGAAGATACCATTTACCTCGGTGTTATTTTCTTGAAGGCGAGCGGATGCAAAGTATTGAGAGCATAGCTGATCACAAGTAGCTACGACCCCTGCCATTGAAGGACACGTCGCATCCCTACCTTTACCAGCATGCGAAACGTCTGCTCCAACGATCATCGTGTTTGCCTTCGCACCAGCCCAGAAGATTCTTTGACTTGCCACGTCGTTAAGGAAATGGCTAGTACCTCCCGATTTGAAGTTTATCTTGAGACTGGTCAAGAATTAGCATCGGCATTATTATTGAATTGATTGAGTAGAGGCAGACCTGATATTAGAGATAACTCCAATGTCCCGTTTAAATCTATTGTTGAAAAACTTCCCTTTGGTAAGCACTTTTTTGGTGATGCAAATTGTCGGGATACCAGCGACACAGTCACCCCACCACTTTATATTTGCATAGGTACATATATCCCTGTCGGGGACTACTACAAGAAGAAGTCTCGATTTTCTATTACCATTTCTTGAACGCAAAGTTCTTAGGGCTCCATCAAGTCTAGCACAAAAGAGCCGCCTATTTGGCGAGGACGAAGCATCGGAGATAATTGCACTGCCTGTGAGCGTGACACCATAGTTTCCAATTTTCCATCCGAGATCTTGGGCAAATTTCCTCACTTGATCTACACTAGCATTGTCGTGGGACCTGAGCCGAATGATATGCAGATTAGGAATCGAATTTCCAGTGTCAGCAAACCTGAAAATACGATCGTTATCCTTGAGCATCCAGGAAGATTTGTTCTTTGGTTGCGTGGATATGCGAAACTGGGACCCTTCGCCAAATTCCAGTATGGGCTGACGAAGGTATTTCGGAACAACCTCTACAAACTCATCATTAATACTGAGGCCGAATTGCTACATTTTTTAGTGACTATGGTATCTACTGAAGTTTCTATAGGTACTTACCGAGAAGGAACCCGTGGTAGCTGGAATTCCCAGAGACGGCAATGCCCCGTTGAGGATTAATCTCTTGCTGCTTTCGGGCTCACACTGAGCAATCTTTATCATCGAACTTCCCAAATCATCCGGAAGAATCTTTTTGAAGATTTGCCCGGCAACAATTCGCAGGTTATCGGCCGGATACCATTTCTGGTAGGTTGCTGTCCCCATATTCAAACAGCAGGCAGAGGAATTGAATCTCAACAATCGATATTCTGTCTAATTTAGCAAAACTTCTCTGTATCGAACCACTAAAAGGGTTAACTTACTATTTCTCATGTGGTCATAAACAGAGGTAACCTGGCCTGGGGTTCCGTTGGCATCTCTAGGTGTGAAAGTGACTTGACTAACATCTGAACCATTGACATCACGAATGACTCTCGTTTTAGGATTCGCACCATCACCAACAAAAGTGACTCGAAGGCCTATAAGATTACTTCGTTCATTGACTGGCGGAATTTCTTGCTGCCAAAACAACCGAATCCAAGTACTCAGTATTACCGGAGGGAAAAAGGCTGAGGTTACGGTGTTGACATTCAGCAGCACCGATCCAACAGCTGGCCGCATCGATGTATAGAAGCCAGTTCTGATTAGGAATTTCGCGTCACCATCCAATGGCACCTTATGGTAAGGAATTACACCCCCAACACTAGGATAGAATCTATTTCCCACCCGGAATCCATCAAACAATGGTGCATGCGGTGAAGCGTAGCCGTTGATTCTAAACCATGAGATAATGTTCAGCATCCTAAGATCCGCATCTGGTACGAATGTCGAACCGCTCGAAGACACATGTGTGTTTAAAGCATCTCTTTGAAAAGGGCCTTCGTAAACAATGAGGCTATGCATTGGAACCCAGGTTTGATCTCGACCATGACGATGATGAGTAATCTCGACAGTCGCTCCTGGCACATCAGTTAACTCATCATAAAGCTTGCCGACGGAGACAATGTACTCCGAGTAGTCCGAAACCCAAATTCCCGAAGGAGGAACTTGTAGGAGTAGCTCTTCGATCAAAGTACGACGAAGCTCACGCTTGACAACATTTTTTTTATCGATTTTGTCGAGGTGAATCCTGTATCTTCGCAGATCAAGATCGGAGTTGAAGGTGACTTTGAAGTAGTTGGACTGAACAGGAGCAGGCAGATGAGCGCCTGTATTTTCAACAGCTGTCGCCTGACGATGGACCAATTTTTGAAAACCACTTGCCCGTTTCTCTTCTTCAACTTCTTTTGCTGTCTTTGCTGGTGGAATGAAATCTGCGACCAGTTTGATCGAGCCGGGTGGGAGAGGCTGAGCTTGAGTTGCATGGGATTGAACTTGTGGCCCAGAGGTTGCCGTTGAGGGTACACTTTGCGAAGGGCCTGCAGATGAAGTCGACGGGACTATTTGTGGCTGATTCTTTGGGGGATTTTGTCTCATGTATGCTTCATACTTCTCTTTCGTATATTGCATAGGATCAGGAGCTTCTATGAAAGAACACGCTATTTGGCTATGAAGATGTCCGCAAATGCTACAAATAGTATATTGGTTGCCATTCAACTCGGGACAGAGTGAACATGAATGGTCGGGACTGAAACAAATGTCACAGACTTGGTCTTTCCAAGATTGCCAATGTTTCTTGCAGGAGTTTGTATAGTGCTGAGTGTTCTCCGGTGCGTTAGGACATTTTGAGCATTTACGCTCTTCTGAAGACATTTTCCACAAGCCTGAGATCCTCTGAGAATTGAATTTGCTTTCAAGGAAGTGAAGAACTCTAGTCTAATCGATGCTCAGATCGTTACTCAGACTTTTCTACACTACTTATACTTCAATTCCCTAAAATTATGAGATCAAATGTCAGATCTACTGAGCTGGCGGCAGCCTACTGATTCACAAGCAAAGTAGTTTGATATGCCATTCATCGCTTCCGTGCAAAATTTCAGCAAGCGAAAAAATATAATTGCTTTATATTCGATAGAGAAAACTCCAATGAGGACAAGTGAGTGTAGTAAATTCAACTTCAAAGTCAATTAAAGGCAATAAATGAGGGCTTCAAAAAACCAAGATACAAACATGACATTCTTTCTTTGCAAGTTTGCAGTTAGAGGCAATCGAGACGAGATCCCATATGAAAGTCAGATTTGCAAACTGATTGAAGAGTATAGTTATTGGAATTTACTACTCTTGATTCGAGAATTTGACAAACCAGCGGCACGGTCAATCTACACTCAGTCAGGACAGTCCGAACCGCAATCCAACAACATACCTACCTAAGGGTTTGAATGTCTGAAAACAATCAAAATATTTCAATCTTCCAATCAAACTCAATCTTCCAATCAAATTCAATCCCTCAAAGAGCCCGAATCTCCTTACAAATTTAAGGATTTGACAATCTTCATCATTAAACTACAATCCGGACTATCGAATACTCTAATCCTAGTCTTCAGATGCTACAATATATCAAATAGATGCGATTATCGCAACTTCCAACTAGAGTTTTGAGGTTATCTAGTAGTTATACAAAAAGGAAAGATTATTTGAAATCCTTGCAACACACTTTCAAAATAAAAGGACGCTTGTCACAACTCGCGTATGGAATGTTACATACATTGTATCTTCACCAATACTCCTATAATTGCGAAGGAAAGATTGTTGTTGAAGCACGCGTTTTGTTAGAAACCCGATGGATTGGAGAATAACTTCAGAAGCTTGGTTTGCATTTTAATGCAAACTGCAAGATTCAGCCCACGCAGCACAGTAACTTATGGCATAAGCTAGCAATCAAAAAATATTCACCAAGTTTCTAATAAAAAACTAAAACGTATCGAAAACTCACAACTAGCATAAGAAATCAAACCCGAAAGTATAACACCTGAAAAGCACTCATAAAGAACTCATGATAAAGACATAAACTCTCCTGTAAATTACAAATAGAACATGATGTTGTTCAGATTACAGTGCCAGGGATTAGTTTGTTTAGTTCCCGGGCAAATCCACGCCTGCTGTGCCCCGTGATAGTGAGCGAGTGGATCTTTACTCTTCTGCATCTGATCCTGAGTATGACGAAGTCCTCCATCTAGCGCAGGCTTCATATAACACCGGAGCCGGTCGCAAAGGATATCTGCATATCTTGCTGGAACGCAGACAGATAATCCCTTAAGCGCGCGAGAACCCACAAAACATAATTTATGTGTCTGGAAGGACTGTCAATGTGAGTATATTCAAAAAGGAATCAGATCTTACCACCTGTTCTAGTTGATCCAAAGTCAATTTGCATTGATTAGCGATGACAGTGTAGTGCGCTGATCGTGCTGTCCCCAGCGGGGAATCATGGCTTTGAAGGAAAAAGCTCATTTGATTCGGATTCACGATGTGCTTGTCAACCACCAGACCCCCACTTATATTCTCGGTATTCTTGTTCAAGTTAAGCGGGAAAAAACGGGTGTGGTGGCGCTTCGTGACGACTAGCAACGTGACACGAACATCAGATTTTCCTTGCTTCTCCATGAATTCCTTACAAGCTTTGTCGATTTGTGGAAGCTCTTGAGTAAGTACCATGCCAAATTGACTCTCACTAACGCCATCTCGGTAAAAAAGAATGTTCAGGGGAAGATTCCCTTCATTTTCTTCCTGATAAAGCTGTAGTCTCTCTTTGACCATGCCGCTTAGATCTGAGATAAACTATACCCGATTTCATAACGTATATTCAAAACATAACTTTTTTTGATCTAATCAATTTTTTGTTAAATCTATACAAAAAATAATATAATTGTTTCCAATTCAATTAATATAATTCTAAATTGAATAAACTTTATATAGAAATATAAATCTCAATTAATAAAATCAATAAATAAAATATAAATAATATCAATTAAAAATTCATTGAATTAAAAGTAATTGAATGAAAATCCAATTTTCGAAAATTCAAAAATCCGAAAATTATTTCAAAAATTATAATTTCATTCAATTACCTTCAATTCAATAAATTTTTGATCAATTCTATTTAAATCTTATTTATAAATTTTATCAATTGAAATCTATATTATGATATAAAGTTTTTTGAATTTGAAGTTATATTCATTAAATTACATTTTCTAATTTTCCAATTTCGATTAAATAATATTGAAAAAAGTACTTTTTCTTTTGGATATACGTTATAAAATCGGGTGTATAAGAAACCGGTTAGTAAATAGTGAAAATAAATCTTTCAAGGAATAATGATATATGGAGTACCTCTTCATTATTTGGTTGGAGGCGAGCAGATGCAGCAAAATGACAGAATTTGGAATCAAAAGAAGCGACTACGCCGGCGATGGATGGGCATTCAGGATCCAACCCTTTGCCAGGATGACTAACATCAGCACCGACAATCATTAGGGAATCATTTCGGATGGACCGGATGAGTTTCGATGGCTCTTTGACATCACCTATGATATGGTTTGTACCACCAAGCTTGAAATTAGCTTTGAGGCTAGGTTACACATTAGTCTAACTTTGCACAGCCACCACACGAATGACTTGATAGACATACCTCAAGTTGTCTAGAATACCAGAACTTTTGTTTCTCACCGCTGGTGGGCAAACACAAATCGTCGCTATACCAAGATTGCAATCTCCCCACCATTTTATATCAGAGTAGATCGCGGCGTCTTTATCGGGTAATATCACAAATACGAGACGGGTCACGTTACCTCTCTTCAAACAAGTAGTTAGAAGACCATTGACTACTTCTCGTCTCTCGGCCGCAGTTTTGAAAGGCTTCTTCTCTTCGTTTACTTTTGGCCAGGCAACGGTGGGTACGTTCCCTTTGAAAGATTGTGTCTGAAGGCCATGTCCTTTCAGTTGAGTTGCGAGAGCCTCCGCGAACTTTGAAACAATCTTTTTTTGTTCATCGGAAATGTTCTCCTCTCTAGTCACACAAATAATCCTAAGCTCAGAGTATTTTTGGGCTAGATTGAATTCTTTCACATCGCTCAGGTTCCAGGAGGCGCTGATAAGTTTTTTAGTTTTTCCTGGTCTGAATGTTAAAGATGGGTGGGCCAAATGTCTCGAGGATACATTTAACAGCTTTCTTTCCACGGTTAAGCCATATTTCTGTACGGGTTAGTCTACAGTTTCCCAACAAAATGCCTGGTAGTTCACCTCATATGGAGATTTCCACGGCACAATCTGAGAAACCGGGGGTTTTATGCCCAGTGGTATGAGAGCTTTGTTCATTATCTCTTGTTCATTTTCAAAAGGCGTTTTCTTCGCGAATCCTAACATTTGCGCAGTGAATAGATTGTCTAATTTCCCATGGACTGTTTGCCACTCGCAAATCCGTAGATGGTCTGCTGGCAATAGTTTTGGATGAGAACTATTTCCAACATTGACACAAGAAGCAGTCTTGCTGAATTTGTGAGCGGAACCAGGGTAGCCTATATTCTGGGTCAATAAGCTATCGCGTTTTCTTGTGAAATTTACTACTCACAACTTTGCATGTCTTTCCAGACCGACTTTGAAGAATCATTTTGAGGTGATACTCCTGAATTCGCCTTAAAAACACACAAATCATGCACATCCGAGATGATATATTTTCTGGGGACTTGATCCAAATCGAAAGTTACTTGCACTCCCTTGATTTCATTTTTTCCAGTTCGCGGAGCAACACCGGTATAACTAGACGAGTGTCCCCAGCGCGCATCTAACCAAGTTTGCAAATTCATCTTGGAAGGGAAGAAAGCCGTTGTGGTTGTGTTTACATTGAGAAGTATTGATTGGGGGCCAGGAAGCATGGACGTAAAGAAGCCCATATGTATATCGTACACATAATGCTGAGGAGGGATGAACCTGGTGTTCGATCGATTGACAATCCGTCTCGGGTTACAATGAGGATAAAACTTTTTTCCAACTCGACCTCCTTTGAAGGAAGAACTGTTTATTATGTCCCATGAGATGAGGTTCAGGGCTCTAAGGTCCTCAAGAGGCAAGTAGTTTCCGTCCTGTCTTGAAAGACTCGTGTCTGATGACTGCTGAGTTGAAGCTCTTCTTGGTCGCAAATAACTTCTGAGAGAATCTATGTCGAAAAATCCTTCAAAGTATAGAGTACTGGTCATTTTTATTGTTTGCTTTCGATCATTGAGTTGGATAGTTTGCTCGTGTCCAATAGATATGGCAGAGCCCGGTTCGTCCGAGCATTCGCTGTAAAGAGGATCAGTAGAAATGATACAAGAGTAGTAGTCGGATGTCCATGAGGTGCTTTGAGGCTTATGTTGCTTGAGTATTTCCTCAAATAAGTCTCTGACGTCTTCTCTATTTCGTAATGGTAACTGAAGCTTGCCAAAAATGATTTTGTATCTGCGTATTCTGATTTTTTTGTCGACGAGTGCTTGAGATGGTCGCACACTGAAACAGTTTGCTTGTATGAACTCATTTCCCTCTGGCCCCTCTTCCCAAGCTTTTTGCAAGTCCAAGCTCTGCATCGCGTCATTTCGAATCTTTTGCTCTGCTTGAGAGAGGCGCGGAGCCTCTTGAACGTTTAAGAGTCTTACTCTAAGCAAACCATTATTTCCAGACCCTGCACTTTCAGAGCTTGCCATTTTCGCCTTGATAGTCTGAGAGGAAGTAGGTAGTTAAAGTAAGGGAATTGAAAGTGATCTGATATTAGAAGGAATTAATATGAACATGTGCTTACTTATACTCACTTCTCACCAATAGTCATCGTTTGCGCATCTTTCGAATGGCATAGATATTATGACTCTCTACTAGGAAACATGGAAGCAGTTTATGCGGTGGGTTCATAGACAGAGGAAACAATCAAGGTGATTATCGAACTTGCTGAGTGAGACATGTTTGGAGCGTAAAACATGAAAAACTTCCGCCATAAACAATCGACTCACCAGAGACACAAAGTAATAAGAGTGAGTAAGTATCGTTGATCACAAACAGCTTGCTACCGATCGATAGATTGCAGACGTAGATATTGACTCCAATAATCAACATATTTGTTTTATCAGCGTGAAAGATGTTTTATCCTCTTAGGCTTAAGGAGATCATTAACAGTTCATATTTTGATATTTATTTTGACTTTGGCCAAGACCGTTGGCAAAGATGTGAAAGTTCCTGAGTGATTGCGCTCCTGGCATTGCAATCGAAAACGGAAATTCCGCCGACTTTCCCATATCGTATAGGAAATCTTGAGCCTGTGCTATAGGTAGACAACCATACAGACACCCAAATACCCAGGTACCTATGGATGCAATAGTTTCTTGGGCTCATCGAATTGTGATGGGTAAAAATTCTCGAATTCTGAGAAGTTTTTAATGTTCATTATTAATCCACGTTTCTGATCAACCCCACATAATGCAATATATTGACACTTGTCACATGCTAGGTAACTAATAAGTCTAGATGACCGCCATGTCAAAGCTTGTTGTATCAAACTCCAGAGTAACCTACAATTACTGTCCGAGCCTAGAAGATGGCGACCACCAATAAACAACATAACGTCTACTCTCTTCCGTATCACGGTTCGGAGCATAGCGCGAACGACGCAGACTTTGAGTTTGCAAAGATTAAAAATTTCTCGACTGCTTTTGGGGGTCCGGCTACCAACTTCAAGCCAGAAGAATGGCTTTCTATGGAAGAAATCCGCACATGGGCGTCTGATAAGACGATGAACACACCCAAGGGCGACGATCATAGCGGACTCTATAAGACTATCGTAAACCCATACGAGATCCGTGTGCTTGAAATTAAGCCGGGGCGCGATAGTGAAAAGCTGCGCGGTTCTTTGCATCATTGCTCAGTCGAGTTTGAGTATGAGACCGTTGTGGACCAGTTTGAAGTTCACAGGACGGCATTCACAACGCATGCGCTTTCTGTGGAGAATATAACAACCCCAATCTGGTATACAGCACTAAGTTATACCTGGGGCTCATCGAGTATGGATGGAAGTATTGAATGTGGCGGACACGATAAAGCGATCACAACTTCCCTCGAGATGGCACTGCAAAACATGCGGAAGGAAGATCATCCCATAGTCATGTGGATTGACCAGATTTGTATAAATCAAGATGATAATAAAGAAAAGGAAATGCAGATTCCGCTGATGGCAAGAATTTATAAGCATGCATTCAATACTGTGATCTGGCTAGGGCGGTGCGAGCCTGCTTCCAACTCTGCAATACAGCTCCTCAAAGATATCAATGTCAAATTACTGTTTATTCAATTGAAAATTGATCCCGAAAATCTCGAGAGAATGCAATTACCAAAATCGGACTCGAAGACCTGGCATGCTCTCTGGAAATTTCTTTCGCACCCATGGTTTACGCGGCTTTGGATTATTCAAGAAGTCATGCTCTCTAACAACCCATGGATCATGTGTGGCGACGAGCTACTTAGGTGGGACGAATTCTCAAGAGCTGTAAACCACCTGTCGAAGTGTGGAATACTTCAATGGCTAGAGCTGAAATTTGCTAACGTTAAGGACTCCGGTGAACTAAGTGATATCAGCCAAACTGTACTAGGGCTGACTAGTCAGCGCGAACAATATCGTAGCGCTGATTATGGGACACATATCTTTGATAATCTTGTGAGCACTCGAGGTGGTCAATGTTTTGACCCACGAGATAAGATTTATGGGCTTCTTGGGGTATGCAGTGATGCAGAAAGGTTTCAAGTCAGGTACGCGGATTTTACAGAAAACGAACTCTACCACGACGTGGCAATTCACGCTTTGACCAAAGACATACAAATTTTAACTCCAAGCATCTTTTTTAAATCCATAGATCATGAGTCTCTTGATCTTCCATCATGGGTACCTGACTGGAGAAAACGCCGACAAACGAATGAACTTGGGACTTATAATGCCAGCGGATCATTCAAGTTCAAATTGAATAAAGTGTATGTTAAAATCAACGATGAATCTAGGAATGAGCTTCGAATACACGGGACCTCATTTGACTCTCTTGCTAAAACCAGCATAACGATCAAACATCCCGATGTCAGTTATCTCGATCCACACACCAACAACAATATGCTCTTGGAACTCTGGACTTTCGTCTCAAAATCGAAACGTTATCCGACTTCTCATACAGTCTTTCATGCATTTTGGCAAACCCTCGTAGGAAGTAAAACAGAATCCGGAAAACTCCCATGCCCAGATTCCTTCGCTGAAATTATAAGTCTCCTCCTCGATGCATCTACCGGTCAGACTCCATCGCTGGAGGGCCAAACGTATTCACCGCGACAGCAAAAGCCCCTCGGAAAAGGCAGGCTTGAATTAGCTAATCTCGCGCGAAGACTACCAGGGCAAATATTTCAGGAGTTGCGCGAGGCCATGAAATTCGTGCTCAAGAATCGTAGATGGGGGATCACGAGAAAGGGGTATTTTGGCTTATTCCCTCGATATGCGGAAGAAGGTGATGTAGTATATGTGATGGAGGGTTGTGATGTCCCGTATTTGCTAAGAGAGGTTGATGAGAAGAATAGGTTTAGGTTGGTGGGTGAATGCTATGTTTTTGGGATAATGGATGGGGAGGCTGTTGGGGGAGAGGGATTCGCTTTTGAGGAAATTGTTTTGGTTTAGAACAGAGCTTGTGATGGTTTTGAGGATGATTTGAACTGATGACTGTTTATTCAAACATCGTTTGTCATCCGCAGGTTACTCGACATCCTGGTCAGCTTTACTTAGCAAGATATGATAAGCTTGGATTCCTTGTAGATCGAGAATGAGGCGTGACTCATAGCGAGATGATTAGATTCTTCCTTGTTCCTACATACATAAAGAAGTAAATACTGCTAGGTATTGTTAATATTAAGCTGTATTCCCGTCGAATATTACTTGCTACTCTCTTTACATCGGTACAATTAAAACCCATTTCGTCACCATCAAATAATTTGTTCGAAACATCCCAAGTTATATAATAGTCACGATAAAGACACTCTAGTGATACTTCTTTTGTCACTTCTCATATATAATTGGGCATCTTTCTCAGGAAAAAGTCAACTTCAAGATTGAATATGTTTTTTCCTCTCAATGAGCATTTTACCTCATTACTCTCAAATGTGTTGTTTAGATACTGTTAATCAATTCAGTTGATAAGTAAAAAGTCCTTTTGTCTATTACAGGTTTGATGGTTCTGATCATTGAAATTATGAGAAGCTAGCTAGTAATGTATCAATGTATGGAGTGAAGAAGCGCTAGCGCTTCGTTAGGTTACATACACAGTACCCTCTTATGATCACATGATCGATATCCCGACAAATACTATCCGTCTCTTTATAGATGAGTAACATCTTTGGCATTGGCAGTTCGATTTCATTCTTGACTTTGGTTTGATCTCGAATCCAATCTACTTCAAGAGTGTTGACAGGATATATTGAAATGGTTGTGTAAAACTTGGGATCATAATACCTTCGTTCTTTCAGCGTGCATTCTCACTAGAGCTTCCAAAGTCAAAGATCAATCAGAAGCCTGGTACTGTGATTTGAATTCTCGTAATAATATATATAGTATCTTTACTGTATGAAAATTATGATGCATACGTGGAGACGTAGTGGTGATTTAATAAATCAAGTAGTATGAAACAAACAAATTTCCCAAAACACAGCATCGTTTACGAAAAGAAAGCGCACGCTATTCATTCCTTGATTGTTTCACTCTCGAGACCACTCCTGTCTGACTTGATACTCTTCTAGCCGCCATTAACATACTGTACACCTGCAAGATCGCAAGGTCCAGAATAGGTATAAGCAAAAAAGGTTTGGTCTGCAAGTCGTTCCTCTTCTTCGACGCCGGATGGACAGTAAGACGGTGGATTCGGAATGGGTGATACAGTAGGTGTAACGCTAAGAGAATAGCTACAGAACGCCACTTGGTCTGGTTCGCTACCTTCGAATGTGAAAGCGACACATTCTTCAATGTCCCAGCAGATCCTACAACAATTGCGTAGATTGTAATCTCCGGTGTAGATCTCATTGTATGCTGGTCCACCAAAAAGGAAGGAGTATGGACCAGGAGTTGTCATTTGATCGCAGTAGGCTACCGGTGGTGTTGGAGTTTCTGTCACAATCACGGTAGTAGTTGTGGTCGCAGTTGTGGTGGTAGAGATCGTTTTGGTCAGCGTTTGAACTTCAGTAATAGTATTGATAGCTGTTGTCGTTACCTAGCAGGGATAAAGTCAGTAATTGCTAACCAGAAAGTCTATCATCTTGCGCGTGGAAAAGTTTGAACAGTCGTAGAGATAGGTGAAAAAGAAGATTCTGAGAAAATCAAAAGCTTACTGTGACAAAAGTGACTGTTTGAACTTGAGAAGTGACAGCAGGTGGCGTGGAAGTCGCAGTACTAGTTTGTTGTACAGTGGATGTTACGGTAGTGCTGGGAGTTGGCAATGACAAACAACTGCAAGCCGATGATATCTTAGAAGCTGCGAATATACTCAAATATGGAGGAATTGGTGGCGGATTTCTAGCGTCAAGTTGTGCATCGTTGATCAGTGGTTCTGGTGATCTTTTCACGGTAGTTCCTGTTGTGGTTGATGTTATAGTGATCGTATTAGTTGTCGTGAGTGTTTAAGTAGTATCCACTGTAGAGGTTGCAGTCGCCAAAGTGGTGATGAGCTGTGAAAACAGATATCAGCAGGGAAATACGCAATTGTGAAAGTAGAAAAATCGATTTCCTAGAGCATGTGACATGTCCCGATGCACTGATTTGAAACCACTGCTCTAACAATCTCTGAATGAATGAAGGGCTACTGACAGAAGTCAAAGTTTGAGTTCTATGAAGACCAATTAGCAAGATTTATGTGAGTGGAATATCAGGTGGACTCACTGTGTACCAGTCACCGCGGTGGTTGTCTCAGCGGCCATAATGCGTAAGATATAGTAGGACAAACGAAGAACAAAAGTTTTAATTAGTCTCATTAACTAGCCAGTAGAACCCTGATTAACTAGCCAGTCGGAATTCTACTGGCTATCAAGTAATGACATTTGGTTTGCGCCGGTCAAAATCATCGGCCACTTTCAAGGCATACTTGACTACTAGCCGCTATTTGCTAATATAATTAGCGAAGTCGTCTAGTTAATATCTAGCTTTCTTCAAGCCTTTGAATAGAAATAGATCAAATAAGAAAATAAATTACATGCAAAAAATCTCCACAGTTATACATATTTATGACATAAATCGAAGCGTTAAATTTGATATAGTCACGTGGTAAAGATTGTAGAACTTTAGAGATTGAATCGTTTTCATTGACACGGCAGAATTCCGAGGAGGAAATGACATATTCCAGGGAAGTTTATATCCTCAACCAATCCAACCTAATTAGCTTGCATAGTCTATGTGCCTGGGAGCTTCCACTCTTGACCCTTAATCCCATCTTGTTTTCCATTCTCATGCAAAAGCGAAACCGGCTTATTTATGCTACAGTGTGGAAGCGGAGAATCAGGAAACGAAATATTACTAGCTATGCCATAGTATAGATCTCAGAAGCGCGACAAGAGGTCGATAAGTATAATCCGGGGAAGAGTGTAGTCCTGTTACGAGCACAGACTCTTAGAGATCAGTACTCTGGAAGCTTTAGGGGGAGCATGAAGCAAGAACGCTTAATCAAGCCGGAATCAGCCGTACCACAGCACTGGAATAAACTCTACTACAACATCGGAACTCGGCGTACCACGGCATCGGGACTACGAGTATCATAGCATGAGAATAAATGCAATATACTATAACCCCACGGACCGAGTATCAGGAGACGGGAGCTAGAAAGTAATGGGAAACAACAACCATAAATGCATTGGACAAACTGTAGCACGTCAATTGACAAGTTATATTTTTAAAAAACAGGAAAGCTATACACCTGGTATACCTTGTAATATACAGGGAAGATAGTTTTAATTTGATTGCGATAATTTCGCGCCACAGAAAGCTATGCATTGAAGCAGAAAAGCAGAACCTCGGAGCAAACAGTCGTCTGCGATGACAAAGTCCCTGGTCAGACCAGAGCAATAGTGTTCTCGATTCAGAGTTGAGCTAAAATCGACAATTCATGCACAACCTAACTCTAAGATAGAGACAGGCGTGCTCTTTGAAGTTTAAAAACGGACGGTCAGAATACAGATCCGGTTCCAGGGTAATTATACAGTAATGAGATTCTCAATCAAATTTTCTGAGTTATACTCTTTCGTCCTGAAGTGCCAAACATCAAGACAAAAACGTTAAGTACTCGACCACCATAATGTTCAGAATTTTACGCGGTTGTTATCAGACCAGTTCGAGATCTGTTCATTGAAGCCTACTAAGTCTTTTTGACGCAAGTAATCTCTCAACCAAAGTTCTCGGGGCCGCATATAAGAGTGACTAACTACTTAATGAATTGCATCATGTTAGAGTCGTAAAGGAATACATTTGTCAGATCCACGGCACCCGGCCGTAAGATCAAGCGACACCGAATAAAGATTGATTTAGTTTGCCCATCCCTCAAGAGCAACATCTGCTTCTCACCGATACGTGATCGCCATATTACATGAGTAACATGTACAGTGTTGCATGCTTTCTTTGATAGCATCTTGATGTGGTTAAAGATGTCCATTACACGGAGTCGGTGCGGTATCTTTCTCGATGATGTATTCGAACGCGACTGTCTAGCGTCGCCAAGGCTCGATATACCCGATTTCATAACATGTGTCCAAAATGTGACTTTTTTTGATCTAATCAACTTTTTGCTAAATCTAATACGAAAACAATTCAATTGCTTTTAATTCAATCAATATAATTCTAGATTAAAAAAACTTTATATTATAATATAGATTTTATGTCACGGTCAATCCGTGTAAGGGTTGACGAGGGCACATGAATAGCCCCTACAGGGCTACTTCGGGCCGATACCAATCCGTGCACAATTATAAATTATAGAATTTTTATAATTTAGAAGAATTAATAAAAAGTCTTTGTATTATATTATATCTAATTAATTTATTATTATTATTTATTTTAATAATTCTTTTTATTCTATATATAAAGCAATCTATTAATTATTTCTTAATCAAATAATTATTAATATTATTATAATTTTAATAAAAAAAACACTTATCCTAAAAGAAAAGCGGAATATCTATAATGTGATTCAAGATCAATCCAGTAAAACTATTAATCAATTTCTGTAGAGTATTAATAATAATACTCATTTAATCCAATTATATTCTTCTAATAATAACAAGAATATATTATTAATCCAATAATTTAGAGAAATAAAAGAAGAAATAGTAGTTATAAAAGAGGCTTATAGGGTAACTATAGATTACATCTTATATATAATCATTTTAATTAAGTATAACCAACTTATAATTATATTAAATGTAATTTATCAAAATATTAATCTTAATCAGAGAAAACTATCAAAATTGTAGAGATTGAAATAACATGAAGGAAAGAATATTAAGAAAGTTAAAAACTTTTTTTTTTAAATAGAAATCATATTTTAAAACAATAGTGTGAGCGAAACTTGGTACTGGTCACGTGACCTCTTTCTGTAGCTAGTATTTATAGATCTTTTTTGTGTAATTTAGAGAAAAATAATCAATTCCTATTTACCTTTTTATACATTTCGTAATATACTATATAGAACCTACTTTTTTTTTTCTTTATCGGAGATATTATATCTCAATGATTTATTTATAATATTTATAAAAAATTATTTTATAATTCTACCACCTTTTATTCTTTTATATTGATAATCTATATAAAGAGAAGAATATTAAAAGATTAGGAAGCTGTATGCAAATCTGAATTTTTGAATTGCTTCAAAAAATAGAAAGTTATTGGTTTGGAAAAATCAATAGAAAATGGGAAAACGAGAAGTTATTTAGTATTGCGAAAAAGTTGAATAATACTGATTCGATAATGGATGGAGAGAGGGATATATCTCTTTTTCAAAAATCGAATTGTAATCTTATATGAATCTGAAATAGAATATAATTATTTATAAATAAATTATATTTTATTATTATAAAAAGATTACAAAAATAATTTATGAAAATCTTTTTAGCAATATTTATGGAAATCTGGATAAATAATTAATTTCGAAAAAAAAAGTTTTTTTTTACAAAATAGATTTAAAAAAGATTAGATAATATTTATTTCTTGTATTTCAATATAGGAAGTTTTGAGTTTTCTGAAAAATCTTTATATTTTCTAATATTATTTATATTTAAGTAAAATTTGATTATTTCAAAAAATTTTAAATTATTTATGGTGAGGTTGGAGGAGGGTTATTATCAAATCTAAATAAAAAATTGCTTATAAAAAAAGATCTATTCGGCTTAATCTTAAAATATCTAGAAATATTTTTGAGAGAAACTTATGATTAAAACTTTCTATAATAAAATATCAACCCATAATTTTATCTTTTTCTTTTTTTATAAGATTTAAAAAAATAAAAGTTTCGGAGAATATAATTTTATTAAATTTTAATAAAATTATTAAAAAAGAAAATGAGAGGATTTATATTTATATTATACAAAAAAATACTATTTATTCAATTACTCAATTATTTTTTATACTATATTAATATAGTTATATATAGAATAATAATTAATTAATAATATATCTACTCCTGATTTTAAAACTAAGTTTCAGAAAAATAAATTATTTATTATAAACTCTAAATCCTTGATTTTCTTGTTTATTGTTAATACTCCTGGTATTGATAATTAAGAAAAGGATTTATTAGAACTAATTATAACTTCAGTTGATTATAAGATAAATAATAACAAAAAACCCGAAAAAGATTTTGATCTAAAATAAATAAAAGGAAATCTTAGTGCTAAACAATTTGCTATTTACTTAAATTACTTTTCCAAGGTTTTTATATTTTCAGTTTTTCTATCTGAGATAATTAGAATATTATAATTTAAAGATTTTAATATTATTAAATAGTATAAGGGGATAGAATACCTTCTTTAGAATTATTGAATATAAGCTAAAGACTTCTGAATATATATATCTTTTCAAATAGATTACTTATTTTGAGAGAAAATCAAAGCTATAAAAAAATAATAAATAAAAAAATGGAATTGAAAAAAGTATTTCAAATCTGTTTTTCTTAAAGAATATTTTAATAACAATTTTATTTAGAAAATATATTTTGTAATTATTTACAAAAATTTATTAAAAAATATAAAAAGAAAGGAGGGATAAGAGTTAATAACTTTAGTTATTATATTTAATAATTTAATCAGATTATATAATAATTTATTAAGGACAAAACCTTAATAAAAAGCAAAATCATTAAACTTTTCCTCAAAAGTATATTATTTAAAGTTTCTTAAAGATATATTATTATAATTAAATATAATATAAAATGGTCTAGTATAATAAATTGGGATAAAATATATTATTAAATAATATAGTATATAGAATCTGAATCTCAATATGCTTTTTTTAATAATAATAATAGTAAGGATTCTGATTTCAATAAAATATTGGAATCTATTACTCCAATCAAGAAAATATAGGAAAAAAAAAAGTATTTTAGTAATTTAAAGAATAAATAAACTTAAAAAAATAATTGAATTTTTAAATAATTTTGCTTTTTTTATAAAAAAACAAATCATAATAGAATTTAAAATTAAAAAAAAATTAAAATAAGAAAAATTCTTTTTAATTCTAATATTACAAAAATACCTTAGATTACAATTCGAGAATTAATTCAAATTTCTTTTCCTACTACTATTAATATTATTATTAATTTTGAAATAATGGAAGCTGTGTACTCAGTTTATAAAAAAGTATACTATATTTATAATAATGAATAGTCTAGAGATAAGAATTATTTTCTTAAAAAAGATTATTTAATTTTTCAAGAATATAT